ACGCTCCGCCCACCGATAGGACCGCCGTCTGCAGAGGCAGAACGCTCCGCCCACCGATAGGACCGCCGTCTGCAGAGGCAGAACGCTCCGCCCACCGATAGGACCGCCGTCTGCAGAGCGGCGCGTCTCTGCTCACCGATAGGACCGCCGTCTGCAGAGACAGAACGCTCCGCCCACCGATAGGACCGCCGTCTGCAGAGCGCCGCGTCTCTGCTCACCGATAGGACCGCCGTCTGCAGAGGCAGAATGCTCCGCCCACCCATAGGACCGCCATCTGCAGAGCGCCGCGTCTCTGCTCGGCCAGATGCTCTAATACTGAGACAGAGGGGAGAAGCGGCGCTAAAAATGCGATATAAAAAGCATAAGGAGTTGCGAGCACGAAGCAGCATTTCCTCCGACCGTTGAGCCAGGCAGCTTGGAGGGGAAAGACAAAAAAAACTGAAAAAAAAAAGCAGAGCGACAAAAGAAAAGCAACATTTCATCAGAGACAGAAAGACGCGCTGCAGACGGAGAGCCTCCTCTAGTCTTCTCCAGACGGCGCCTCCTCTTCTGAGCCGTTCTCTTCCTCCTCATCTTCCTCCTCCTCCTCCTCTTCCTCTCCTCCTGCAGACTCCTTTGTTGTCTTGGGGGCGGGGGAAGTCTCCTCCTTCTTCTCGCCTGCCTCCTCCTCTTCCTCCTCCAGAGGACTCTCTGGCTCCTCCTCCTCCTCCTCCTCTTTGGGTGAGCTCTTCTCCACAGTCTTGGAGCTGGGGCGTCCCTTCCCCTTTCCTTTCATGGGGCTCGGGGTGACTGCAGGGAAGAAGAAGAAGAAGACGGTTCAGGGCGGCCATTGCTGCCTCAGAGTGATGGCACTGAGACCGGAGCAGACGCTACCTGTGGCCTTTAGTCGCGGTTTGGGGCTCTTCTTCTCCTTCTTGTCTGGCCGTCCTCGTCGAATCACCTTCTTTCCTTTCTTCTTGGAGCGGCCGTAGTCGCTGTCATCATCATCCTCCACCATGAAGTCTTCATCGCTGCCAGACTCGTCAGCTGTGGGGAACACAGAGATTCCCGTTTCATTAAACTGAAGCAGAGGATCATGGGAAAAGCAGAGGATCATGGGAAAAGCTGTTTGAAAAGTGCAGCTCGCCATGTTCTGAGGAAAACCGGATCTATCTGCAATCAGTGGCCGATGGAACGTTGAACCCAGGGCTCCGCTTCACCAAGCAGGTCTAAATTGATCCAG